GTAATCTACCATCTTCTAACAAAACCTGAGAATTTATTCTATTTTATTCACAAATATTTTTTTTTATTTTGATGTAATGACCTGCTTTTCTTTCAAAACTGCGCTTCTAACTGCCATTGGTATAGCTGACAGACATCTCCATTCTTTTTTATTGATGGAACACTCTCATCCACAAAGCTCCGTAGTGACGCTCAAACGGATCCTTCTACAGCATTTTCGGCCTTCGCTTTTAACATTTCGTGAGGGCCATTTAATTATCCACCTTGTCCATCTTTTGTCCGTCATTCTTGACGCGTGACTAGCTCAACACTTTTAGGCCTACACTACTTGACAACAGTATTCTTGCCAGACCGAAATCGCAGTACTTTGCTGGAAACATAGTGAATTTAGTCAATAAAATAGACACACATAAAGAAATAATGTATTTCAGCGTAAAATAGCGCCGATGCTGGGAAAATACGAAGTTAAACCTGCAATTGCTTTCTTTTGGTTCCGCGCAGCAGAACATAGACTGTGCGCAAATTGGCACCGAACTTTATGTGACAGCCACGTCCAGCAATACCTTGTCGCCCAGCTGGGTTCATCGGTAGACCAGAGAAATCTCCTGAGAAGTCGAAATTTTCCAACATTTTGTTCTGCTGCCATCGTCTCCAGTGCTTGCGTATAACGACCAGATTCTGCAAATAAGCATTTATGTTGAGGCTAAATTTTTTTGAATTTTGTGAACCGCAGAAAGTTTCTCTGTTGAAAACTACATCTGAACCGTCTGTATGTTATTGAAACTTGACTGCAGCAGTGTATGTGATGTTGCGACTTTGTGTCTCTGGTGTCTTCTGCGTGGCAGTGCAGGTGGGCGCTGTTCAAATGGCTACTTCTCACATTTGCTGTTTTAAATTACTTTAATTTCCTCAGTATTTTCCCTCTCTCTTTAAACAGTTAGCAGCCGGTCTTTAAATGTTTCGCGACATCACGTTGTCTTGTTTTCTTATTTGAATGATCAGCATAAGAAAAAAGCCATTAACATAACTATCAGTAGCAAAGTTCTGCCACTCCAGTTGCCCTCAGACAAACCCGCTACTTGTGTAGACGTATAGAGGAAGTTTTGTCTTTTGACTTTGATAGCAGTCGCACTTAATGGGTGATTAAAATCGCACAAACTAAAGGAAGCCTGAATGCGAAACACAGGAGAAGTCACAACACTCAGATATTTGTTTCATATTTTCCTACCAAAGTTTTGGCCGATAGCATTTCTTTTCGTATTGTCCATTAATTAATGTTGCGCTCTTTCTCCTCCAATTAATATCTTTCTTACCATCTTCGAACACAATCTCCCCGTTACTGCTTCTTCAGCACAGCTGATGTTTTGGCTTCCGTATTACATATTTCCAGTTTAGTTCTATTTCAGTGAATACCTCAGGCGATGCATCATCAACGTGTTTTTGGACATCAAACGGATAATCATCGATAGGTTTGCAATAAAACGGTGGGCAATAATTCGGTATCAATATCCGATATGGCTTGTATTTTTCAGCGATAGCTAGTTTGCGCACATTTCCCGTATTATCATACGGCATGTTATTCGGCGAATTAAACCATGTTTCACTCATACCTGTAATCGGCTCGCCTTTTTTGTCAGGTTTCTTGATAAATCTACTTACATTGTTAATATAAAACCTTTTCCTGTTTTTCCATTGCTTCTCCGTCTCCAGCTAGTGTTCCGGCGATCTCGGCAGTTGATCGTCATTTTAATATGCAA